ACAGTCGATGGGGCGTCTGAATGTGAGGACCTATATCTGATCACTGTAGATAGGATCGTGTCATGGTTGAGGCATCCTACAAATGGTGGTCGGAGGTGCAGTCGTGCAACGGGAAAAAAGGAGCTAGTGCGTGTAGTATGCGAGACACGTGGCTTGGTCTTCAAGGATATGGAACCGGCCAACGCTAAGTATTTGCACCCCGGGTTGCAGCAGGTGCTGCGGGTGGACGGTAGTGGCAATACTGCTCGAGGTGCGCGGCAAGAAGAGGATGTGGGTGAGTCTGAAAGGGCATATATGGCCACAGACGGGGATGACGAGGGTGCAGCAGAGGAAGCTTTGCGTGGTGATGTTCCAGTTGCCGAGGTCCGTTGGGCCGATGTGGATGAGTTATGGGGATACGATGCGCATCCCGTGCACGGGGTACGACCCTCGTCACATGCATCAATGCTACTTGTGCAAGCTTGGAGCAGAATATGTGATAATACACACTTCATGGGAGATGGCGCCGATGATGAAGAGACCATCAGGGGTAAGCATAAGCATCCGTACGCCTGGTGCCCATAGTGCATACCCCAGTTCCCGTTGTACATGTTTTATACGAACCCCCTTTTCTTGATTGTGGCAAGGCAAGGCGACCACACCGGCGCCACAGTAACAGACATCGGTGCGGGGTCTGGCAGGGTGGCGGTCGAGGGAGACAAAAATATCAACTGCGAGGGTGCCGCTGGGGAAGTGACCACAAGGAGGTGGGGAAGGCGAGCACCACGTAGGCGGACTAGGCATGGGATGGGTGGGGATGGCACAGGTGCTGGTGATGAAGGGCCAAGGGTGAAGGAGGTGACAGTGGCCATTTTGCTAGGTGTTCATTTCTACCATTGCATGATGCGCTGCAGTGCATCAGCAGAGGATGGTCACCCACGATCAGCCGAGGTACTTTCAGAGGAGTTATGCTGCGCGGCTGATCATTGGGCTGGTGATCATTCACGCTGCCATAGGGCAGGCGAGCATGCGCCGAGGTGTGTGTCAGGGAATTGGGGTGTGGAGAGTGCTGTGTACTTACCCAATTCTTCGACCCACAAGGCAGTGCAGGATTGGTGCCAACTACACTTCAGTTCCGCCAAGGTTGCGTGCATTGTGGAGGGAGCAACCAGTTCAATGAACGAGTCGTTTCACTCGCTTATCATAAAGTATGCGCCTAAACGCAATAGGTTCCAGGGGAGTTATGATGCGCGAGTAGCCCTGGCTGTCCTGCACTAGAACAATACCATGGACCGCATCGTTAGAGTGTACGTCACCAGGGTGCGGCATACAACACGGGTGCGGCGGGGCCGATGGGATCGGGTGCTTGGCCCAATGGAATGGGGGTGGGTCGACAACATTTTGCAGGAATGGCGTCGCGCAACGGACGAATTCGGGGAAGGGGATGCAGAGGGGGAGGACTCAGAAGAACATGTGGCAGTAAGGGCTCGGACAGAGGCGGCATCCCGGTTTCCATCTGGCATTGGTGTGGAGAATCCGATAACTCATGTGATCCCGCGGGCTACAAGGCGCATGACGCGTGAGACGCGCCCCGGGGTGCGACGCAGTCTAGCTGGTGAGTGGTTGCACGCTTGTGTCCATGTCGTCGCATGCATTTAATGAGGGGCAAGCGTGTGGGTATCGCTAGTGGGGATTGTTTCGCGTCATTCCCGTCTAAATACGACATGAGTGACCTGCAAAAAATGGAGCCCATACGTTCTTGCTTTTCCATACCCCTCACTACTCTTGCGGTTTACAAGGTGTCATGTCGAGCCTACCTCGCTGACCGTGAGCGCTTTCGCACCCTGTACCCGGCGGGTGTGCTGTCGCATCCCAATCGGTGTGGGAGAGCAAAGACACCAGGATGGCCTACGGTTACATGAGCCCACAGCGGAATGTTGTGAGTCCCCAGTTGCTCCGCGGGCCCTCCGTATCCCATCTCTCTCCCCTCACATCAGTGCTCATCTCCGAATGCCCAAAATCTGCTCTTCTATTCTTGAGAACATTCCAGTTCAAGGGTCCTCTTCTTGTGTCCTGCCCCTTTTACTTGCGTTTCCGTAGAACAAGGGCCACTCGTCCCTCTTCAACCCACCTCCTCCCCCCTCCTGCCTACAACCCCCCCTCTTCCCTCCCGTCTCCACTCTCTCTTCACCTCCCCCCAACAGTTGCGGGAACATGGGCATGGGAGCAGCAAGCAGAGGGGAGGGGGAGCATGGGAGGAAGGGGGGGCAGTTGGAGCTTGTGGGAGAGGGAGCAAGTGCAGGTATCCGGGCCCGGGCCCGGGTCAGAGGTGGTAGAGGAGGGAAGGTCAGGGGTGGTAGAGGAGGGAAGGTCAGGGGTGTTAGAGGAGGGAAGGTCAGAGGTGGTAGAGGAGGGAAGGACAGGGGTGGTAGAGGAGGGAAGGTCAGGGGTGTTAGAGGAGGGAAGGTCAGGGGTGGTAGAGGAGGGAAGGTCAGGGGTGGTAGAGGAGGGAAGGTCAGGGTTGGTAGAAAGATTGAGGAAAAGGGGAGGGGCAAACAGGAGCCAAACCAGGGCGCATGCTTCTTCTTCACTGATCGCCTCAACAGTGCGCCGTCCGGATCCGCCCCTGTTTTTTGCAGCTGCATCATGCCTCTCTCGTCCCCGATCTGGTCCCTGCTACGTCCGTTTCTTACTCCGTCCGTCCGTCCGTCCCTACCCCATGCCCCCCTTCCTGCTGTCCCTTAGTCCAGCTCCCCTCCCCCACTCCCCCCCCCTCATAGCCTGGTGCACATGATGGGGGGGGGGGAGATCTGGTTAGAGAGCGAGCCCAGCCAGGGCTCGTCATCCTTCCTTTTGCTCCACCAATCCTTGTCTTCTCTTCCCCTCCCCCGCCCACACCCCCCAGCCTGGTGCACGTGATGGGCGGGGAGATCTGGCTAGAGAGCGAGCCCAACCAGGGCTCGTCCTTCTTCTTCATGGCTCGCCTCAGCAGGGCCGCGCCCGGCTCCGCTCCCATCTTCGGCAGCTTGCTCACCTCATCCATCATCCCTCATCCAGTCCCCACCTCCCCCTCTCACGTCTCCTCCCCTGCCTGCTCTGTTGATGCCACTCCTTCTGGGAATCACCAGCAGCAGCACTACCACCACCAGAACCACCATTACCAGCAGCACCAGCAGCACCAGCAGCAGGTGCTCCAGTAAGGGTCCATTCGTTTGATTCTCGACCTCATGCGTATGCGTCAGACATGCACGCCGATATGGCTAGCCTGCGCAGCAACCTCCCTCTAGACATCCCTGCCACGCCAGGCTCCAGCCACGGGGGCAGCGGCAGGCACCTCTCCTCCTGAGGCGGCCCCGGGGGGGGCTTATCTAGGGTAGACAGCATCTCTGGGGGGGCAGAAAGAGCATGAGTGGTGGGATCAGGAGGAGCAAGAGCCAGAGCAGGGGGTGTAGACTACTCCAGTCCGCGAGCTGAGCTGATAGGAGCTCTCGGCATGGGTCTCCCCCTGGTCCTCCCGTGCCCTATGGCCTTCTCTGGTCCAGGCACACGCAGCGGCCGCTACTCCAACCTTGCCTCCCCTTCGCACTCCGGCGCCCACACCGCCACCACCGCCCCGTTCAGCATGCAGTATGCTCCTCTTTCCACCCCCTCCCCACCATCGGCGGGCATATGGAGGGATCTGGAGCCTTCTCCGCATTGGTCAAGGCCTGTGAGTCGGGAGGGGAGGGCCAGGGCGACTCGAATGGCACCTGGGGGAGGGTTTACTGGGGTGGGGATTGCAGGGGGGAGAGGTGGGAGAGGTGGGGATGTTGGGTCTGGTGGGGGTGTGGGGGTGGGAGGAGGGGTGAGAGGGAGTTGGTTGAGGCAGAGTGTGGGAGGAGATTCAGCTGGAAGGTAGTCAGGGGGGGGAGATTCAGGGAGGGGAGAGTCAAGGAGGGGAGATTCAAGGAGGGGGGATTCAGGGGATGGTGGGCTGCTGGAGGTCACAGTGTCTGGTGCTGCTGGTGGCTTGGCAACTGCTGGTGCTGTCGCTGCTGCGGCTGGCTCTATTGCAGCCGCTGATGCTGCTGCTGCTGCAGGGATGGGTCAGAAAGCAGGAGGCAGTGGAGGAGTACAGATAGCACGAGTACCATCAGGGGCAGCAGCGTTGAGGGTGGGAGGAGGTGAAAGGGATGCTCATGCTCCACGTGATGGCTCCAATGCATACTCAGGGGCATCGTCTCCTTCTGAGGATGACACGTTTGACTTCAACGTTTTCAGTAGAGAAATGCGGGCGAATGCCGCCCTGCCCTCTCTGTCAGCTGCTACTGCTGCTGCGTCACGCTACTACCACTCCACGCCGATCTCCCCAACCCCCATTCGCTCCCACTCTGCTTCTGCTACGCATTCAGGCAGCCAGAGAGGCGGGGTAGGGGGTCTAGAGACAGGTCAAGGAACAACCACTGCAGCAGCAGCAACATTAGCGGTGTCAACGGCAGCACCACGGGCCATGTTATCTGCATCCGCAGGAGCGTCGCCAGCAGTGGCACCATCGGCACAAGTAGCAGCACCGCACGCACTAGCATCGGTGTCAGCGGGATCATCAGCAGCAGCAGCAGCAGCAGCAGCAAGCACAGGCGCCCCAAGGCCACAGTCCCACCACGCCCCCTTTGGAACGGATAGCTCTCAGCAGCTGCCGCAGCAGCAGCAGGGGCTGGTTGGGTCTGCCACAAACCAAGCGTCAGCTGGAGTGCGGAGGTATGCGCTATTGCTGCCATTGCAGCCACTGCTGCTGCTGCAGCAGCGAACGGACCCGCTGCTAGTGGCTCTCGAGGGGTGGGCAGCGGTGCTATCGGTGGGGGTGGTGGTGGCAGTTTTGGTGGTGGGGCGCTCTCAGATCCTTCTCTCTACTCCCAGGTGCCTTCAGGCAATCCGGATCTGCTGACCAGGGGGTACTCCCCTCCCCACAACGACTCCTACTGACGGGTGATGATTGGGGGTAGGATGGACTATCAAGCTGTTGTAACTTTAACATAATATGTATTCTTATCACATGGAGCTTGTCACGCTTGCAAAGTTGCAAGTGAGGTACTAGTGGTTGCAAGTGAGCTCATCATTCTTATACACATCCTTCTATTTGTTATTTCATGATAGGGATGATGTTGCATTTCATCTTTAGGCCGTGGAACATGTATGGAGGGTTTCGGGCGGGGGAAGAAGCAGAGCCAAACGAGAGATCGATCACCATCTCCTGCTGCTCACTTGTAACGCTCCTCCCACTCGTGCTCTCAGCACCACCTCTGCTCCCACTCTTGCAGTTATTGGTAGTGCTGTTGGCTCCTCCGCTGCTGAAAACTACCCAGCGACAACCGTCCCACCCACCCCGTTTGCCCCTTTTCTGCTATCCAAGGAAGGCTGGGAGAAAGTGTAGGAGGAGGTGGCAGCCCCAGCAGCAGTGTTAGTAGCAGCACTAGCAGCAGCAGCCGCTGCCCCTCCCCCTCTATCGTTTTTTGGCACCCCCCTGCCTCTGAAAGTGGGCATCTCGCACTCCCGGCCCTCCATAAAGGGGGCCGAGTGCGGCGCAGGCAGCACCAGGGAGCTCCCGCTGCTGCTGCTGCTGCTGTCCTCGAGGTGAGAAGAGGGGTGTGATGGTGGGAGTGTGGGGTGATGAGGGGGAAGAGCGTGGTGGGGCGGAGGGTTGGAGGAAGAGGAGGATGTAAACGCTGCACTGGGAAGGGGGGGAGGGGGGGTAGAAAACGAAACTAGATGGAAACGGAGGTTCAGAATATTGCGTTCACGTGAGCAAGCTCGCTGCGCGCACAGGCAAAAACGAAAAAAACATAATAAAAAAACAAAACAGAACAAAACAAACCAAAAAAACTACGACATGACAAACAAACAAATAGATGAGACTCATCGGAACGTAAGGAAACAGGGGCTTTTCGTGTGAAAGCGGGAACAGGAGTAACCAATGCACAGAGCATACCACAGACTCGAGCCCATCGCTATCTGTTGCCGTCCCTCCCACCCTCGTGTTGGCTCGTTGCAGCAGATGGGCTGACTGCGCTGAGAGCGTGTATGCCAGGCCAGCTCTCTCGTACGTCTGCGGAGAGGGGAGGGTGGAGGAGAAACGGAGATGAGGACGAGTGAGATGGGGAAAGGGAGGTGTGAGACAGGGAAAGGGAGGTGTGAGATGGGGAAAGGGAGTTGTGAGACGGGGAAAGGGAGGTGTGAGATGGGGAAGGGGAGGTGTGAGATGGGGAAAGGGAGGTGTGTGGTGGGGAAAGGGAGGTGTGTGGTGGGGAATGCGAGTTGCGAGATGGGGAAAGGGAGGTGCGAGGCATGGGAAGATTCAGGGCGGATAGGAAGGGTAAGAATCCCCACCTCCCCTCCTCACCTCCCAGCGCCTCTCCTCCTCTCCTCTAATCCCAACCTCTCTTCCTCACCTCTCCTCCTTCCCCCCATCCTCGTTTCGTATCCTCGTCGCCTCTCTGCCTCCCCTCTCCTCCTCCCCTCTCATACTCACCTCTCCTCCTCATCTCTCTTCCTCACCTCTCGTCGTCTCCTCCAATCCCCAGCTTGCCTCCTACCCTTCCCTCGCCTCTCCGCCTCGCGAGGACGCCTTGCCTCTCCGCCTCACCTCTCCGCCTCGCCTCTCCGCCTCGCCGATCCGCCTCGCCGCTCTGCCTCGCCGCTCCGCCTTGCTTCTCCGCCTCGCCTCTCTGCCTCGCCTCTCCGCCTTGCCTCTCCTCCTCGCCTCTCCGCCTCGTGAGGACGCCTCGCCTCTCCGCCTCGCCTCCTCTGCCTCGCCTCTCCGCCTCACCTCTCCTCCTCGCGTCTCTGCCTCGCCTCCCCTCCTCACCTCTGATCCTCCCCTCTCCTCCTCACCTCTCCGCCTCACCTCTCCGCCTCACCTCTCCTCCCCACCTCTGATCCTCCCCTCTCCTCCTCGCCTCTCCACATCACCTCTCCTCCCCACCTCTGATCCTCCCCTCTCCACCTCGCCTCTCCGCCTCACCTCTCCTCCCCACCTCTCATCCTCCCCTCTCCTCCTCGCCTCTCCGCCTCACCTCTCCTTCCCACCTCTGATCCTCCCCTCTCCTCATCGCAACTCCGCCTCACCTCTCCTCCTCCCCTCTCCTCCTTGCCTCTCCACCTCACCACTCCTCCCCACCTCAGATCCTCCCCTCTCCTCCTCGCCTCTCCGCCTCACCTCTCCTCCCCACCTCTGATCCTCCCCTCTCCTCCTCGCCTCTCCGCCTCACCTCTCCTCCCCACCTCTCATCCTCCCCTCTCCTCCTTGCCTCTCCTCCTCACCTCTCCTCCCCACCTCTGATCCTCCCCTCTCCTCCTCGCCACTCCGCCTCACCTCTCCTCCTCCCCTCTCCTCCTCGCCTCTCCGCCTCACCTCTCCTCCCCACCTCTCATCCTCCCCTCTTCTCCTCGCCTCTCCGCCTCACCTCTCCTCCCCACCTCTGATCCTCCCCTCTCCTCCTCGCCACTCCGCCTCACCGCTCCTCCTCCCCTCTCCTCCTCACCTCTCCGCCTCACCTCTCCTCCCCACCTCTGATCCTCCCCTCTCCTCCTCGCCTCTCCGCCTCACCTCTCCTCCCCACCTCTGATCCTCCCCTCTCTTCCTCGCCTCTCCGCCTCACCTCTCCTCACCACCTCTGATCCTCCCCTCTCTTCCTCGCCACTCCGCCTCACCTCTCCTCCTCCCCTCTCCTCCTCGCCTCCCCGCCTCACCTCTCCTCCCCACCTCTGATCCTCCCCTCTCCTCCTCGCCACTCCGCATCACCTCTCCTCCTCGTCACTCCACCTCACCTCTCCACCTCCCCTCTTCTCCTCGCCTCTCCGCCTCACCTCTCCTCCCCACCTCTGATCCTCCCCTCTCCTCCTCGCCTCTCCGCCACACACCTCCTCCCCACCTCTGATCCTCCCCTCTCCTCCTCCCCACTCCGCCTCACCTCTCCTCCTCCCCTCTCCTCCTCGCCTCTCCGCCTCACCTCTCCTCCCCACGTCTGATCCTCCCCTCTCCTCCTCGCCTCTCCGCCTCATCTCTCCTCCCCACCTCTGATCATCCCCTCTCCTCCTTGCCACACCGCCTCACCTCTCCTCCCCTCTCCTCCTCGCCTCTCCGCCTCACCTCTCCTCCCCACCTCTGATCCTCCCCTCTCCTCCTCGCCACTCCGCCTCACCTCTCCTCCTCCCCACTCCTCCTCGCCTCTCCGCCTCACCTCTCCTCCCCACCTCTGATCCTCCCCTCTCTTCCTCGCCACTCCGCCTCACCTCTCCTCCTCCCCTCTCCTCCTCGCCTCCCCGCCTCACCTCTCCTCCCCACCTCTGATCCTCCCCTCTCCTCCTCGCCTCTCCGCCTCACCACTCCTCCCCACCTCTGATCCTCCCCTCTCCTCCTCGCCTCTCCGCCTCACCTCTCCTCCCCACCTCTGATCCTCCCCTCTCCTCCTCGCCTCTCCGCCTCACCTCTACTCCCCACCTCTCATCCTCCCCTTCTCCTCCTCGCCTCTCCGCCTCACCTCTCCTCCCCACCTCTGATCCTCCCCTCTCCTCATCGCCACTCCGCCTCACCTCTCCTCCTCCCCTCTCCTCCTTGCCTCTCCGCCTCACCACTCCTCCCCACCTCTGATCCTCCCCTCTCCTCCTCGCCTCTCCGCCTCACCTCTCCTCCCCACCTCTGATCCTCCCCTCTCCTCCTCGCCTCTCCGCCTCACCTCTCCTCCCCACCTCTCATCCTCCCCTCTCCTCCTTGCCTCTCCTCCTCACCTCTCCTCCCCACCTCTGATCCTCCCCTCTCCTCCTCGCCACTCCGCCTCACCTCTCCTCCTCCCCTCTCCTCCTCGCCTCTCCGCCTCACCTCTCCTCCCCACCTCTCATCCTCCCCTCTTCTCCTCGCCTCTCCGCCTCACCTCTCCTCCCCACCTCTGATCCTCCCCTCTCCTCCTCGCCACTCCGCCTCACCGCTCCTCCTCCCCTCTCCTCCTCACCTCTCCGCCTCACCTCTCCTCCCCACCTCTGATCCTCCCCTCTCCTCCTCGCCTCTCCGCCTCACCTCTCCTCCCCACCTCTCATCCTCCCCTCTCTTCCTCGCCTCTCCGCCTCACCTCTCCTCCCCACCTCTGATCCTCCCCTCTCTTCCTCGCCACTCCGCCTCACCTCTCCTCCTCCCCTCTCCTCCTCGCCTCCCCGCCTCACCTCTCCTCCCCACCTCTGATCCTCCCCTCTCCTCCTCGCCACTCCGCATCACCTCTCCTCCTCGTCACTCCACCTCACCTCTCCTCCTCCCCTCTTCTCCTCGCCTCTCCGCCTCACCTCTCCTCCCCACCTCTGATCCTCCCCTCTCCTCCTCGCCTCTCCGCCTCACCTCTCCTCCCCACCTCTGATCCTCCCCTCTCCTCCTCCCCACTCCGCCTCACCTCTCCTCCTCCCCTCTCCTCCTCGCCTCTCCGCCTCACCTCTCCTCCCCACCTCTGATTCTCCCCTCTCCTCCTCGCCTCTCCGCCTCATCTCTCCTCCCCACCTCTGATCATCCCCTCTCCTCCTCTCCACACCGCCTCACCTCTCCTCCCCTCTCCTCCTCGCCTCTCCGCCTCACCTCTCCTCCCCACCTCTGATCCTCCCCTCTCCTCCTCGCCTCTCCGCCTCACCTCTCCTCCCCACCTCTGATCCTCCCCTCTCCTCCTCGCCTCTCCGCCTCACCTCTCCTCCCCACCTCTCATCCTCCCCTCTCCTCCTCGCCTCTCCGCCTCACCTCTCCTCCCCACCTCTGATCCTCCCCTCTCCTCATCGCCACTCCGCCTCACCTCTCCTCCTCCCCTCTCCTCCTTGCCTCTCCGCCTCACCACTCCTCCCCACCTCTGATCCTCCCCTCTCCTCCTCGCCTCTCCGCCTCACCTCTCCTCCCCACCTCTGATCCTCCCCTCTCCTCCTCGCCTCTCCGCCTCACCTCTCCTCCCCACCTCTCATCCTCCCCTCTCCTCCTTGCCTCTCCTCCTCACCTCTCCTCCCCACCTCTGATCCTCCCCTCTCCTCCTCGCCACTCCGCCTCACCTCTCCTCCTCCCCTCTCCTCCTCGCCTCCCCGCCTCACCTCTCCTCCCCACCTCTGATCCTCCCCTCTCCTCCTCGCCACTCCGCATCACCTCTCCTCCTCGTCACTCCACCTCACCTCTCCTCCTCCCCTCTTCTCCTCGCCTCTCCGCCTCACCTCTCCTCCCCACCTCTGATCCTCCCCTCTCCTCCTCGCCTCTCCGCCTCACCTCTCCTCCCCACCTCTGATCCTCCCCTCTCCTCCTCCCCACTCCGCCTCACCTCTCCTCCTCCCCTCTCCTCCTCGCCTCTCCGCCTCACCTCTCCTCCCCACCTCTGATTCTCCCCTCTCCTCCTCGCCTCTCCGCCTCATCTCTCCTCCCCACCTCTGATCATCCCCTCTCCTCCTCTCCACACCGCCTCACCTCTCCTCCCCTCTCCTCCTCGCCTCTCCGCCTCACCTCTCCTCCCCACCTCTGATCCTCCCCTCTCCTCCTCGCCTCTCCGCCTCACCTCTCCTCCCCACCTCTGATCCTCCCCTCTCCTCCTCGCCTCTCCGCCTCACCTCTCCTCCCCACCTCTCATCCTCCCCTCTCCTCCTCGCCTCTCCGCCTCACCTCTCCTCCCCACCTCTGATCCTCCCTCTCCTCATCGCCACTCCGCCTCACCTCTCCTCCTCCCCTCTCCTCCTTGCCTCTCCGCCTCACCACTCCTCCCCACCTCTGATCCTCCCCTCTCCTCCTCGCCTCTCCGCCTCACCTCTCCTCCCCACCTCTGATCCTCCCCTCTCCTCCTCGCCTCTCCGCCTCACCTCTCCTCCCCACCTCTCATCCTCCCCTCTCCTCCTTGCCTCTCCTCCTCACCTCTCCTCCCCACCTCTGATCCTCCCCTCTCCTCCTCGCCACTCCGCCTCACCTCTCCTCCTCCCCTCTCCTCCTCGCCTCTCCGCCTCACCTCTCCTCCCCACCTCTGATCCTCCCCTCTTCTCCTCGCCTCTCCGCCTCACCTCTCCTCCCCACCTCTGATCCTCCCCTCTCCTCCTCGCCACTCCGCCTCACCGCTCCTCCTCCCCTCTCCTCCTCACCTCTCCGCCTCACCTCTCCTCCCCACCTCTGATCCTCCCCTCTCCTCCTCGCCTCTCCGCCTCACCTCTCCTCCCCACCTCTCATCCTCCCCTCTCTTCCTCGCCTCTCCGCCTCACCTCTCCTCCCCACCTCTGATCCTCCCCTCTCTTCGTCGCCACTCCGCCTCACCTCTCCTCCTCCCCTCTCCTCCTCGCCTCCCCGCCTCACCTCTCCTCCCCACCTCTGATCCTCCCCTCTCCTCCTCGCCACTCCGCATCACCTCTCCTCCTCGTCTCTCCACCTCACCTCTCCTCCTCCCCTCTTCTCCTCGCCTCTCCGCCTCACCTCTCCTCCCCAACTCTGATCCTCCCCTCTCCTCCTCGCCTCTCCGCCTCACCTCTCCTCCCCACCTCTGATCCTCCCCTCTCCTCCTCCCCACTCCGCCTCACCTCTCCTCCTCCCCTCTCCTCCTCGCCTCTCCGCCTCACCTCTCCTCCCCATCTCTGATCCTCCCCTCTCCTCCTCGCCTCTCCGCCTCATCTCTCCTCCCCACCTCTGATCATCCCCTCTCCTCCTCTCCACACCGCCTCACCTCTCCTCCCCTCTCCTCCTCGCCTCTCCGCCTCACCTCTCCTCCCCACCTCTGATCCTCCCCTCTCCT